GACAAGAGGTATTGCACTCGGGGCTGTCCAGTTGTGAACACCTAAGGCGTAAATTCCCACAAATACAGTGGTGTCTCGAATTACAACCATAATCCATTCCAGAAGATGGACATAACTCGAAATTGTTGTAAGTTGAAGCACCATTTCCCATTGAAATGCATTGGAACACGATTAATCCGTTCCAGAAGAAAAAAATAAAGCACTGCAAGCCCCATAGGAACATGCTGGGGCTTAAAAAAAAACAACCAAAAATAAACTGAGCAAGCCCCAAAGTTTCCAGGGCTTAAACAAACAAAAGCAGAGAAACATAACTCCCCAGCTGAAACCCACCCTGCAAAAGTTACCCAGAACAGTTTTTAAAAAGCAAAAAGCAGACCTTATTTTATCAGTCTGGAGCCCCTTCCGATGACACTTACTCCCTGGCTGTAGCCGAGTGGTGGCTGCAGGGCTGACCATGGCAGAGGGGGAAGCCAGGGCAAGCGGCCGGAGCACTCCAGCCAGGAGAAGCCTCTCCTTCCAGTGTCTGGAGAGGTGGATCATGGCAGAGGGTGGGTGGCTGTGGCAATGACGGTGGCCCAAGCCAGGCTCAGCCATGCTCAGTCCTTGGCCCCATGGGGGTGATTCCTGAGCAGCAGGTGGCTCGCCCACCAGGGGTGACCAAGGCTGCCTCCTGCTCCGGCACTGGCTTCTCGCCGCCCTCCACAGTGCCGCTGCCACTGCTGCTGCTGGGTCCCAGTCCTCGGCCTCAGCATGGGGGCAGAAGGGGCCCTGATCCTGGCTCCTGGAGAAGGGTCCTCCTGCACTGCCTCCTCCTCCTTCCTGGCAGGGAAGTGCTGCGAGAGCCTCCGCCAGCCCTGGCCAGGAGAACCCTTCCTCTGGGAGCCGGGATCAGGGCCCCTGCACCCCCACACTGAGGCCAAGGACTGGGATCCCACCATCAGGAGAGGTAACGCCCCGGCTGATCCTGGCAGCCTCCCCCCACAGCTGCATCCCTTTCCCTAACCGTTGAGGCAAAACAGCTACAAAGAAGCAGTCTCTTCTCCACCAGCTGTTTGAATTTCCTGCCTTACCTCCCTGCCTTTTCCTGGGGGGAGAGACAAAAAACAACCCCCAAGACCCATCAGAAATGGGCGGGAACAAAAAACAACCACCCAAGACTCGTCACAGCATGGAAGCATAAACCCCCAAGCCCAAAACCATGCTGCAAAAACACCCAGAACAGTTTTTAAAAAGCAGAAAACAGCACCTTACCTTACCAGGCAGCCTGAAGCCTCCCTGCAAATACACTCACTCACTAACTCAGAAGCAGAAGTGAGGCAGTCCCAAGGCTCCTCTGACTCACACTCTCTAACTGCTGGGGCGAAAGAGCTACAAAGAAGCAGCCTCGTCACCACCTACTGTTAGAAATTTGAATTTCCTGCCTTTCCCCCCCTGCCTTTTTCTCTTTGTAAGTGGAAGCTCTGGCCGCAAGTCAAAGCAAAATTTTGTGGCCAGAGCAGGTCGTAACTCGAAATGGTCATAAGTAGGGACAAACATAAGTCGAGGCACCACTGTACCAGAACAAATTGCAGAATCAACAGAGGGTTTCCTATTCATGGGCTATAACAATTGATATCCAAGGCAGCAATCACACTCTGCCTTATAGGATGATGTGTTAAATAAATACAAATGAAAGACGATGTGTGTGGATTTTACATACCGTCACCCTTCTCTGAGCCCTACAAGTTACTCAAGGACTGAGCACAAGTCTTTTTCACCAGGCACAAAAGAATGGGCATGGAGGGGTCCAAACAACTCTCCCATTCCCCCTAATGTGCTGTTTTGCTGCGTGTACATAGATGGGGAAAGTGGGGGGGAAAGAGCATTCATGTGTGCAGTCTTGCACTTGTCATGTGAGTTCATTTCATTTGCAGTTTAGGACTTTGAGTTGTTCTCCTATTACAGTTTTCTCTCACAATCACACCTTCTCTATTCCAGACAGTGAGAGTGTTGTATTGCATTACGGTCAGCTTTGTGCCCTTTCATCAGGTTGTAGATCAGTACGAACAATGAAACTGGGAGGGGTGGTTGGAAATATTAAACCTCGAAAGAACATTTTGCAGGTTGCTCCAAAGCCAGTTAAGTGTTCTCAGCTAGGTCAGAGAATGTCAGTGCTTTTGACTGAAATAATTTCTAACTTACTAGCTTTGAAAATCAACTGCAACCTCAATCTGAATACCCTGAACGCACAAAAGCACACTGGTGAACTTTAAAAAGAGCGCTCCTTCCCTGCCTGGTTTGGGAAGACAGTATTTTGCAGGTGGCTTCTTTATTCCTATGACTGAATCAACACTTACTCTCTCAACCCCCAACCAATGTCATTTCTACCTCTTGCTAAATAAAGAGGTCTGTGGTTTATTCCCAAAAGAGATCTTGTGTGAAATGAAAGGAGCTTCACTTCTAGAGTTATGATGAGGCTGTAAATTTGCCAGCATACTTTGTGCATTGAAAGTATCTTCGTTTAGCAGCAGTGCAGGCTTTTTTTCTGTCACCATGGCAACCAACTGTCCCAAAGTCCTGTTGCCAAAAAAAGTTGCAATATTCATTTATATTATCATTTTTATAGCAATGTGTAGTTAGGTTGCCAGGTCAATAGCATCCTATTCCCTGCTATTTCTTTAGAATCAAAACCTATAACCAAGGGCTGTTCCCTTGCGATGTCATTTGGGGCTGGCCACAGGGATATCTCAGGGCACAGGCCTTTGAGCAACAATTGAAAAAGAATGTGTGAGAGACTGGAGACACAGTGTTGAATTTAAGATCCAGTGAAATAATACTACCCGAGCTCAGCTTCAAAGAGTCTGTTGGGCGAGATTTGTAGGCTGAAGGCTACAAGGCATAATGGAAAGCAGGAGCACTACTAAAAGGAAAGTCCTTTCTGTTTCCTGACTCCTAACAGAGCACAGCGGAAGGGTAAAATTGATACAGGCCCCAGGAAGTGAGCGAACAGGAGTGAGCAAACAGACAGAAGAAACAGGAATTTGACAGGGATGTTCAGCAGGAGAGTTCAGTGGGGGAGGCCCCTAATAATTTTTTCTTTAAAAAAATTTCCTAATTTTTTCCGAATTTGGCTGTAACCATAGTACAGATAATGTGTCCATTGTAAATCAACCCATCTCATGTTAGGTCTTCCTCTTTTCCTACAGCTTAAAACCACTTTTCTCAGCAATACAGAGTGGTCCACTGGTCCAGACAGGCGGGGTATAAATAAATAAATAAATAAATAAACAAACAAACAAACAAACAAACAAACAAACAAACA